GAATAAAAATACTTTCTCCCTCCCTTAAAATTTTCCTTCTTTAAATATTCTTGTCAATAGAAATTACCCTAAATAGGACTAAAACATAGAGAAAAGTACCAAAATAGGACTATCATGTTTTTTTTCCCGAAATAGGACTTTGCACTGTGGTAATGTGACTTTGCACTGTGGTCATGTGGCAGTGTAAATGCACACATTACTATACTTTTTTGGTAATGTATATGACCATGTTTGGTAATGTAAGTCCTATTTCGAGAATGAAAACATGGAATTCCTATTTTTGTATATTTTCAATGTTTTAGTCCTACTTTGGTCTTTCTCCCTTTTGTCAAACAATGATATTCTTTGATAATAAATTAATCATAATCTATATAAATAAATGTTATAAAAATTGTATATGCATGATACGAATATCGTATCGGATAGGGAAGAACTTCAAGCGTCTTCGAGCTCCAAGAAAGGGGAGACAAAGAGAGAGGAAAACTTCGAGCATTTCTGGGCTCCAAGAACAAAGAGATGAGTGATTAAGAGAATTCTTGATTATTGATTGATTGAATAATAATAACGAACGATTACAATATATAAAGACGCAGAAAACCCTAATTGACCTAATGGGCTCGGGCCCATACTAAAACCCTAAACTATAGAATATTAATAAATAATAATAAATAACTACTAAATAATAATAACTAATTAAAATATTCTAATTAACTATCCGTATCATTCTCACGCCCTTAAAATCCACCTTGTCCTCAAGGTGGAGGCTCCCACTCGTGTTTTAAGACCAGAGAAAGAGTGTTGAACCAAGGGAGTAGTCCACTCTTTAAATCTTCAATCATCTTGGATCTTAGATCAAACCGAGGGACATGTGGGATAGAGCCAATACCCAGTGTAGGTTCTCTTGGTGAAACTAGGTGCTTTGTCTTGACCGCATCAACATTGTCAAACAACTTAATGGTGTCAAACGAAAAGGGGTTGTCTGCATGCTTATTATCTGCATCTGCCACCTTGTTGGCACCTTCTAGAAGGGCAAGCTCTGCAACGAATACATAAGTTGAGGCATGGACCGGATCGGTGTCCACATTAACAATATCTTTTGAAATATCACCTTCATTATTTTCAACGGCGTTGGACCTCTCGTCCTCTTCATTCATGAGTTTAGGCCTATTGTCCATAACATCCCCAACATGTGATTCGGCGCTTGAGTCATCCTTTAATTCATTTTCATGAGACTCAGTGTTTTGTACGGTGACCACAAGAGCCAAATTTGGTGGAGAGAGTGGGGCACTAGTGAGGTTCTGGATGACCTTCATCATGTTTGTTTTGAAATTTTGCAACTCCAACGGAATCAAACTCGGTAAAACTGGGGGACCACGAACTAAATCTTGTACCGAGCAAAAAATTTCGATGTCGAGCACATCATAATCAATTTGCCCTTTAAAATTATGGATCGACCTGAGCTTCATACTGACCTCATACACATGATCAAAAATCATACACACTCCTTCATCATGCTCAATTTCTCCATAAAGAACTTTTTCCAGCAAATCAATGAGTTTTTCAAATGTAGAGTCCATTTTCAAAATAAACACTTCCACACAAAAATATCACCAAAAAACTTTTTTTTTCCGACTTACTGCCCACGAAGATATACGGAGTGCATGCGATGAGCAAATTGGTCTTGAAAGCTCCAAAGAAATTACTCCAGTTGCTGCACTTTGATGAATTGATTGGCGACAATTAAATCCCCCCAAAGCGTCGCGTAACTTTTAAGATGAAGAAACGGACCGCCACATGCACCGCAAACGGATGGAAAATAAAACCCTTTGTAGATGTTGAGATTGAAAGGAATGTGTCTCAACTTTTTGGAAACTGCATCATAAATATAGTAATCATCAGATTTCTTGTGAAGTCCCAATTGTATACCTTGCACAATGACAGCAGAAGGAGCTCTTTCGGCTTGCAACCCGGTGAAATAATGGGACAATGTCAAACTTCTCCAGTCCTGACACACCGTGCGACATCGTAAAACAGTGTCTACAGGAAGCCTACTGAGAATGTCAATTAAGATGTCATCTGGAAGTTGACCAATCGATGCTTTTCCTCTTCTTGGAGGATCCTGCAGATTGAAGACAGAACATAAGAGATGAGAAATCTGGGGAAGGCATTCAATCACCATCATCAGGGCCGGGCTAGCTGCAATGAGAAACAAAACGGGTGGCCGGAGGGGACTAGTCGGCAGTCGCGCGCGACGGTTGTTTGGTTTGCACGGCGGCGGGGAGGAGAAAATTAAATTAAATAGAGACATAGACGGAGTCGGTGGTGATTGGTCTGATTTGGAGTCAAGTGT